ACATACATACATACATACATACATACATACATACATACATACATACATACATACATACATACATACATTAACATCAGAGTGAGGAATAAGCATTACTTAATCAAAGCAACGACCCATTAAAAATCCAGGTAGCCGGGTTAACACACGGTCCAGCTAGCTGCTAAATACAGCCACAAGCTAATGCTATCGCACGGTTTTTGCGGCTACAAATCGACTTTTTCAAAAGAAATCTCAACAGTCAAACCTCAATTAAAATTAAGCTTTTTAGCTTTGTGCCGGTTAGCTTAAAAATAACATTACCAAGGTTTACAATCAATTTACTTTGGATAAGCACTTACCTACTACACAACGACAGGCTCACGCAAAAGTACTCTTCCACTGCTCATGCGCATTAATCGTTCGTTCCTCGGATTTTAGCGGTACATAAACAGTTTCAGATGTGTTACTGCCACCTCCTGGACTGGAGCCGAAGTGTCGGCGTGTCGTTTTTAATTTTCTGCCAAAAATTTGATGATAATTATCTCTATAATGTAAACTTTTTATATAAAATTACTACAGCTGTGTTTTAATCAAGAGTTTCACTCACAATGCCGGGTTGTGGTGTTTGACCCTCCCGTAGTACCGTACAGCGGTACAATCAGTGGGCAGTCTCCTGACAGTCTGCTCTACGTATGGGAGTGTCACTTCTAACCGGAGGGAAGTGTGGTGTGTCCGGTGTGCGGCATGAAGAACTCTGACGTTGCTGTTCATGTTTGCCTGCAGAAATGAGCAAACACGCGCCGCCAAATTTCCACGACACCATATAACAAGACCGCGAATCCAATGACATTAACAACTACCACTGTTCCTTGTCGGGGTGACTATGGTGTTTTCGGTCGGTAAAACGGATCAACCGTAGCCCGGCCGTGCCCCCTGCGTCTGTCCTGAATGTTTCTGCGTCAGTGACCGCGATGCGTTTCAACGAGAAGGAGCTGGTCTTTTTGAGTCGCCAGCCCTCTGAGATGGCAGCTGAACTTGGGATGCGAGGTCCCAAAAAAGGAGACGGTAAGACGTCTTTTTTTTAATTTAACATGCACATTATCACCCTCACTTCCGCCTAGAGTATTTGGGATAGCTGTTAATGTTAACATTCACTAAACCAATGGAGGATGTTCGTCTCAGTTATCAGTTGGCTACAGCTGGAATTAAATGTGAACAATGTTGACGCTTTTGCTTTTGGTGTGACACAGTTGTGAAGAGGAGGCTGGTGAAACTTGTCGTTAACTTCCTCTTCTACTTCCGGCCTGATGAGGAGGAGGTCGGTTTAGTCATTATTCAATTATCCTAATTTAACATGCTCACTTTGACGTGAAATAATTTCTTGTAGATTATTTAAAGCTAATTCTTTATGTAATTTTTTTGCAGCCAGTTGGGGCTCTGCTGTTGGAGCAGTGTCGAGTGGAGAGGGACGACAGCCAGACTTTCTCTATAGGTGAGTCCCAGAGTCCACAGGGTCACTTTCACATTGACACACAACTCACACTTTCTCTGCTACTGACCAGTTTCCCCACCAACCCAGGAAAGATTGGCATATCTTTGAACAGCTAAATAAAGTGTATTTTGAGTTTATTTTATGGTTCCTGTTTGAGTCTGCGGCTGAATTAAGGCGGTGTGTTTGTCTTGGTAGTGTTTCTGGATGAAGCGGAGAGGAGGTATCTGTTTGAATGCGACAGTGAGGAGGAATGTGGGAAGTGGATTGACTCCATTATCAAAGCGAGGTAAGAGTTATTCTCTCTTTTCACACCAAACACAAAATGTTACATTTGCTTAAAAGACCTGTCATTGACGAATTAAAAAACAAATCTGTTTAAACCAACTTTTGACCTGTATTTTATGAGGGGAGCCATCACCAGATAGAATCGTATCAGAATGATTTGCTTTTACATGCTTAACATCTTGGTTGCATTTGACTGATTCAATCGTAATGAATCGGGACTAGTTGTGCAAGCGTGGGAGAGGTTCCAAAATTAAAACCTGGAGGTCTAACTGACACCAAAGCCTCCTGCACAGCTGGTACCTTCCTACCATTTCTCGCATGCACCACTGTTCCTCTGGGAGAAATGGCGTTGGTTCATATGCCCTTGCTCTGTGTCAGTTGTTAATGTGTAATGGCCAATTGGACTCTTGTTTATAAGGGGTTTTCTCCTCCTACCTTATGAGGGGGTGGATTTTTTTTGACTGAAAAACACTCTGTTTTCCAAGGCTCAGAGGTGTGCAGGCTGGAACCAGTGGGTGTTTTATACAGGCACGGGTGGGACGGGGGTGGGGGTAGGATTTAACAGCCAACAGTGTTGGGTGCTAACGAGGTTTGCATTTCTGCTACTGAGTGTCAGAAGTGTAAAGCATTTCCTCACTTTGAGAATAGCATAGACGGATGTTGGAGGCTTTTGTCATTTTCAGCTCTTTTTCCCTTAAGGCCTTAGCATGAGTTTGACTCTCGCCTGTAAACGTAGTTGGTTGATCTGAACGGGTAAAACAGACAGTGACAGGCAGGTGGATGTTGAGGCGTGCATACTGTTCCTAAATGCCGTTGTCCAAGTCTCCCTCGATACAGGAAAAGATAACGTTTGAACAGCAAATACACAGGAAAGTGGCCGGTTCGGACAATAATTTTGATTTTGAAAACAGACAGCTGTGCTTAATTCTGTACGTTAATAGCTATAAAGATTCATTAAGTATATTCTTAGAACTCTGGAGGAATTTCCATTGGTTCAGAGATTTGCAGTATAAAATCAAACTCCAGACCTTGAGGAATGGATATCCCTGTCTGACAGTAAAAGTATGGAAAGACCCTATTCAAGGACAAGATAATTATTTTCTTTCTTTTTTAAATTTAAAAGGTGAAGTGGGGTGATTAATAAATCTTATTTGTTTTAGAATATTTTCAACTTTGTCATGAAATTTACTTTTAAAGGATTTGGTGAGTCTGATTCTGCTACAAGATTCTGTTAGAATGCTGGCAGTAAAATATGAGCCTCTTCAAATTGTGTTTAAGGTGAAACAAATAAACCATTTCTCTACACGTGGATCACGAGCAAAGTGGCTTCTCTCTCTTTTGACTGCTGTTGAATTCAAACTTTGATGCTCCCAATGAGGAGCCAAAATGACAAGGTTGTTTTTTTTTTTTCATGAAGGTCATCTCACCGATCTGCGCTGTGTTTGATAAAAACCAGCTTTGACGTTTTCCTCATGCGTTTGATGGAATAATGACAGTAAAATCCCGGTTCTGTGCTTTAGGGACATATTATGTGACTTTTCAAAAAACGGTCTGAAACAAGCATAGATGTAAAACCATTCTCTTTTACGTGTGCTTGAATATCAGCCTTGCCCATATCAGTTTACTTATTGCTTCTTCTCTTGCAGTTATGAGTTTATGCGGAGGAACCTCATATTCTATCGCACTGAAATCCACAGGCTCACTGGGAAGGTGAGCATGTCTGTCTAAATGCCACGCTGACTTTTCCTCTTATAATCAGCTTCGTGCCATGGAGATATATACATTGTGGGTTTTATTGTTAATGTTTGTCTCAGTGGTGGCATCTAAACTGATACGAGATATGAGTTGATAAATGAAAGGAAGGTAGTTTGGGTTTAATGTCCAATCCAAACAATCCCACGGTTGTTTGGGATGATCCACAGGTTTTTACAGTCCTCATAAGACAATTCTTGGTTAAATCCTTTAATAAAGCCTTCACAGAAGCCATAGAAAATGTCATTACGCAGTGTTTGTGATATCTGAAATCCCACTGGCTCTTAGACATGAGCTCCAGAACAAAAGTGGAGTTCTTAATCCTTAACAAGTAAAACCCAGACTTTTTCTGTATCAATAGACACCACTGAGGTTAGGTGAGAAAGTGCTCTATGTTTTTGTATTTGTTCTTCTCTGTGCGTGTGATTTTGATTGACTTCTTCATATGAGGTTTGATTCTGCTTCAATAGCAAGGAATTAGCTGTGCACACTCCTTTCCATCTCTCCTCACCATCTTCTTTCTCTACAGGACCCCTTGGAGCAATATGGTATATCTGATGAAACTCGCTTCCAGGTCAGCAATGGTCTGCAGCTTATGCCCAGAGATACCTCCTCCCTGTAGCCCGGCAATCTATTCTCAAATGATTTTCATGTTGTTTCACTCTGCCATTCCATTGTTCATCGTTCACTTCCCACTGGTTTGAAAAACAGCAGCAGCACTGTCTACACTCCAGCTTTGTCTACATATTTGCTATTGCTAGGACGACAGATAATGAGGGACACAATGTTTCTTTGGACAGGCTCGGTTTAAACCAAAATTGCATCTTTGTAGTGATCAGTCATTATAGGTAAACATGTAGGTCTCTCTGTACTCTGTACTGTTATTGGTGATTATGGGGGTTTTCAAGCCATTTACTTTGTAATGTTTATCTGATGATTTTATAAACATTTCTTTATTCTGTGCTTTCCACTGGATATACTGTACATGCAGAGAATGTGATGTTGAAAGGCTGTAACTGTTCTAAGATGGAGTTTTGGCATTTAGTCTGTAGATGTACCTTCAGTAAGAGTCTCAAAAATTGAGATTGGTGTAAAACTAAAACCTAGAGAAAATGTATCCTTTTGGAAAGGGCTTCAAATGCTGTCAGTACATCTGCACGTGATGCAATAGTCCTTAGACCTACTGAGCTGAGCCACATATTTTGCTCCGCATTTATGTAAATTCTATTTTTTTAGCTGTATGTAGATGTATGTATTAATCTTGTATGCCCCTTTAGACAATTTAGTTTTAAAAATGATCCTTTTGCACATACAACTGGGTGTATAACAAAGGTTTATTTAGTTAATAATTACAATTTCATTAATTAACTTGAACTTAACTTAGTTTTTTGTTTCACTGTGAATCAAACTATTTTGGGTAAGCTGTCGGACCTGACTCTTGATGAGATTCCATAGGTGTTACACCCCCATTTGCAAAGTTTCAACAAATAGCGAGACTAAGTTTTGCTCCCTTACATTTTTCTCATAAACAAATTTTTGCTGTACCTTACAAATTGGTTAAATATTTCTGTAAGAGATGTGGAACATGTAATTGAATGTGACTGTTCCTAAAAAGTGTTGCACATGAAATGTCTTTAGTCTATCTTTATTTACAGCATTGTTATTTCACTGGCATCTCTTTTTTTTATACCAATAAAGCATTTGAAATATTCTGTTAAAATGATGCCGTGCTTTTTTTGTGTCTTGTTTGTCAATGGACACCATTGCTAACTGAGAAACTGTATGTGCAGCATTAAACACTCCTGTCCCCGATAGCTTGAGTTGTAGTCTATGTGTTGTCAAACTTGGATTTGGGGTGTTTTGGAAAATGATTGCAAAATAGGTTAATCAAGCTTGAGTGGATCTGAATTATGTGGTAAAGAGAAGTGGGAATTTTACAGGAATGGATTACTTATGTATTATTATTTTTTAATGATGGCATAAATTTACATTTTCATATCTCTTGAATTCAAGTTAGTTTTTTTACATATTCAGAAGTACAATTGTTGGGAAACACATTTTATTTGGGTGTATATTCTTAAGATAGATGAAACCATAAGAACGTGACAAATATGTAAATGAATATTACACATTATCTGGCTTTGGCCAGCTGAGGAGAGAAGAGGCGATGTGTTGGCCTATTTGACACGTTTCCTTAGCAACGCAAAAATGTGGGATTCAAAATCAGTGACGACACATTCTTCCCGTGATGCCTTGCGGGAACAAATTGAATGCTTGGTATTGCAGTACATTTGTATTTTGCAATTTTGGTCTTCAGCCATAAAAACCATACGCTAAGAAATTTCAGTTGGGTGTAACACAACTGAATAAAAAAGCATAACAACGCGTAAAGGGGAAATTGCTATTGGGAAAAGGTAGGTGTTAATACAGGGTTCGATTACTAACAAACAATGTTGACAAAGCATTAGCCGGACAGCTAGCATAACTTACTTATAGCCAGCTGAGTTAGCGTTAGCATTTGTAGAGCCGTATATCTTGGGTGGCTGGATTCTTCAGATTTTTGTCTGTTTATTTCATCACAGCTAAAAAAGAAAATCTGCAGCTTTGATAATTGTAAAGCCTTTTCTTGAGAGCCCATTCAGACATCATTGCTCTGCTATTTAGCATTTTAGACTGCCCCCAGCTGTAACCGAACTAGATTTATTTACAGGCCAGTCATACGTTACAATTTGGATTGAAAATAGCGTAATAACTGTCGTGTGTTGATCACTTATTTTCGGAATACCTAATTGTTTGTTCAATTGGGTTATTGCTTAGTTGCCTCAGTTTATCTCTCGAGGGCGATATCGGTTTAAGGACTGTCAGATGTGTGTATGTATACCTATGTTTAGCTATATATATCTCGAAACATATGTGTGTTTACATATGTTTATATATATACATATTTTAACAAGATCCAGCTAAAAACGTGAATGATATGTTCCTGCGACTTAGCTAAATAGATAACTTGTTATTTTGCTGTTGCATTTACTGTTGAATTATTTGACTGTTCTGTATTTCTTTGTTTGACTAACCTGTCTGCAGGCATTATGGATCAGGACTATGAGTGCAGGCTACTCAGACAAATTAATATTCAAAATGAGAATGCAAGCCCAATTGTAAGTAAATAACCCAGCACTATGTTGTTTTCTGTTGAAAAAATAAATGTTCTCCTTCTTGGCTGGGGTGTTGTAAGTGTTTTGGTATTTGTCTTCATGAAGTTGGAGGTGGAGATGGACATATGGATTGGGTCCTCACTAATGAGAGTCCTGTCCATTGAGGTGAAAAGGGATTTGAGCCATAAGGCAAATCTTAAGGCCCTCTTAACCCTCACTAGCTGTGGGTAGTGTCTGAAAGAATACGGTCTGGGATAAATGGGGCTTAAATTGGTTTTCTGTTGAGGTAGAGACATAGAGAGGCCATTCCGGGGAGAGGCTGTAATAGAGATGCATCTGCATCGAAGGGAGTCAGCTGAGGTGGTTTGGGCATCTGGTGAGAAGACCTCCTGGTCTCGTGTATATAAATGTATGTAGTTGTTTTTTTGTATGTTCAGAGGCACGGCCATCAACAAAGTAAGAAGCCCACAGAGCAAGTGTACTCATCATTGTTAGAAGCATAATTTTATATATATTTATATATTATTATTATGAATTAGTCTTAAGAGAGAAGGAAATCAAAAGGGGAAAAGAAAAAAGGAATCACTGAGACTAACCAGTGGTGTGAGTACGAAAGCAGCTGCTGCTCCAAAATAAAGTGTTGCAAGAAAACATAATGAAATCCTGAGTATAAATTCCAAATGATGTCCTTTCAGTCCAAAGACTAAACCAGTTCATAGTTCAGTGGATAAGATGGATCCTATTAGCAAGAATATGGCAGGGAGAGCCGGCTGTGGATGGGCTTGGTCAGGGCTCTGATCGGGGGAAGTCAGTAGATGACTACCATCTGTGCAGAACCAGCGATGTTCAGAGCAAAATGTGCTGCACCCCTGAGACTTGGGCCATTCAGCCCTCCAAATCTTTCTATGACCTTTTTTTTAAGAGTGTTTATTATTGGGATAATAACCATTGCAGTTTGTCATGATTTCCTGTGGTTGTGATTCTAAGTAAACAAAAACCTTGGGGCAAAAATGATTTCAGTGATTAGCTTGTTTCTAGAATCCTAACATGCCTATGACTGTTTACTAGAAAAGCTATCGAGATAGCAGAGAAATTGTTAGACTTCATGTGTTGGAAAAGAACAGGGTTTAATGGACCAGTTATTTGACAGTGTCACAAGTGCTGAGCGAAACAAGACCTTACTGGCCAAAGAAATGGCTTTAGTGAATGCTGCCTCCTGTTGTTAACACCTCAAATGAATGCACCATCTGCCACATAAATTATCCTCCTGTTTTGTTAATAAGATTTCAGTTCACAGAACAAGGCCTGTTTGTGTTTGGCTTCCATTCAGAAAATGCTCTCCTCTTTTCCCTCATCTAGAAAGCTGTTGGTGCAGTGCGATCTCTGACACCCACCAGCTCCCCTCTGTCCTCCCCTAGCAAGCATGGTGATCGCTTCATTCCCTCCCGAGCTGGAGCCAACTGGAGTGTCAACTTCCACCGCATTAATGTGAGTCTGCTGTGATCTGCCCAGGACTTTACCCTCTGTCCTACCAAAAGCACAATTCTCTCAAGACCAAAGCGTTAAATCATGACCAAGAAGCAAACATATTTTATTCCCTTCCTATTTCTCATCCTTTTCTGACCGTAAAGACTTTCACTCGTTTCATGTGCAGATTTGGGTCATTCACTGCTTTGATTTATTGACACAGGAAATTGAAAAGTCTCACAATCAGAACAGGAAAACCAAAGACGGCACCACTGACAACAACAAAGGTAATCATTAACTTTTGTCTTAACCATTTCTTCTTCAGCTCCAAAGGGCTGATTCTGGCCGTACCTCTGCAGTCCTTTCCTCTGCCACTGTACAGCAGCTGATAGCTGCTCTGAGCATCACGACTTCCATCTGTAGCGTCACAGACAAGCACGTTTACAGAGCTGGAGATTAGAGAAACCTGTTTTTCTGGTACTTTTTTGGCTGATTTTGACCTTGGTATGAAGCATCTGCAGAACAAAATGACACAGAAGCACTGGCCTTCTCCTTTCCTCTGTTCAGCACTCTTCTCCTACTCTTTAAGGAAAATCTGATCTGCTTTTCTGTTTAGGTAGATTAAGGAACAGTTGGTGGAAGATTGATTGGAGCACCCTGAGGACAAATTACTCCTTTTTTTGTGCTCAGATTTCAGACAAACTGTTCTTTAATTAATCTGGCCTTTGCTAGATGTCATTCGGTGTAAAGGGCATTTTCTGTTGCTGCCAAATTTAAATTGGGCAGAGATAGCTGAATTCAAATCACAGTTCAGGTAAATCAGCACAGCTTGTAATGGATACATTCCCCCTCCCCAATGTTGCAAAGCCATGAAGTGTAAACTCACCTAATGTGAATCTAAAGAATACCGAAAGCTCTTTCATTGTCATACCATTAGATTTTTTTCCTTTAATTAATTATATTTTCAGTTAAATGTTTTAAAAGGTTTTCAGCCCTTAAAGGTGATTCTGCTTTCTGTTGTAGCCTTTGATGGTTCTGGTCTGTCACTCAACTCCTCTCAGTTTTAATCATTTGACCTTCTCTTGTGTACTAAGCGTTGGAAGGCTCCTAGAAACAGAGGATAAGGACTAAGCAAATCTATGTGAAAAGATCCCTTCCATCCTTGGAGAGGAAAAAATTGCAGTGAGGGTTAAACATTTGAACTTAATTATTTCAACAGCAAAGTTTGATTTCCCCCATGTCTGTCGCTCCACCTGCAGCGGACGGTCTGGCTTACTCGGCTCTTCTGAAGAACGAGCTGCTGGGAGCAGGGATCGAGAAAGTCCAGGACCCCCAGTCAGAAGATCGCCGTTTGCTGCCTTCTACTCCTACAAAGAGGAGCCTTTTTAGTGTAAAACACACAGCGAATCTCAGTTATTTAATCAGTTAATTCATTTTAAGATGTTCTTATCTTATGCATGTTTTTAAATTTGTTTTTATTAGTATTCTGTAAGTCCTAAAAGGGCTCTTCCAGAGGAGGATGGAAACACAGTCTCGCCATATTCTTTATCACCTGTCAGCAGCAACAGGTAACATATTTTCCCTGATACTGGCCCGATAATATTTCTTAAGGCATTGTGTTTAGTGACCTCATTGTGTTGTGTATTGCAGCCAGAAACTGCTCCGGTCACCAAGAAAACCCACCCGCAAAATATCCAAAATTCCCTTCAAAGTTCTGGATGCTCCAGAGCTTCAAGATGACTTCTACCTCAACCTGGTGGACTGGTCCTCTCTGAATGTGCTCAGCGTTGGACTGGGTACCTGTGTATACCTGTGGAGCGCCTGTACCAGCCAGGTGTGTGTGTGTGTGTGTGTGTGCGTGCCTAAGGTCTGTTACAGTGCTTATGGTTGTGAAATGTGTCTCTGCATGTGTATTATCAATATGTCGCAATCAAAGGGCCTTAAGCGTTTAATCTGGTTGATTCAATTATTTTCTAAATGATCCTTTTCAGTAATCCATCTCCTTTTATTTTTTTCTCTCCGTCCTAAAAGGTGACACGTCTTTGTGATCTTTCTGTGGAGGGAGACTCTGTGACATCGGTGGGCTGGTCAGAGAGGGTGGGTTGCTCTCTTACCTCCTGTCATCTTTATAAACGTTTCTCAGTTTCAGTAGAGTTGCTTTTTCTTTTATATCCTGGTTTAATCCTTGTGACAGCTCTTTCACATGTCACTGTGCTAAATATGCTGCCTATTTTCAGGGCAACCTGGTAGCGGTGGGTACACACAAAGGCTACGTTCAGATCTGGGATGCAGCAGCAGGGAAGAAGCTCTCTGTCCTAGAAGGACACACTGCCAGAGTGGGTGAGTCGATTGGTGGACGGAGATGTGGGGGAAGGAGACGATAGCAGGAGTAAATTATAAAAAAACACAGAGCAGTTTTTTTTTCTTTTTTTTTTTCTTTTTTTTTCCCGGTCGGCAATCTTCAACCCCCCTCTTCAATCTTCCTTTAATTCTCTGCCACCAGGTGCCTTGGCGTGGAATGCAGACCAGTTGTCGTCCGGGAGCCGCGACCGCGTGATCCTACAGCGGGACATCAGAGCCCCGCCACTTCAGTCCGAGCGCCGTCTCCAAGGCCACAGGCAGGAAGTCTGCGGGCTCAAGTGGAGCACGGACCACCAGCTGCTGGCCTCAGGTGGAAACGATAACAAGGTATGAAGACGGAGTGTCCTCAGTCGCTCTGGCAGCTGCACTTCTGTACATGTCCGCCCCCCCCCCTCATCCTCTCCCCCCGCTGGCTGCAGCTGCTCGTGTGGAACCACTCCAGCGTCCTGCCCGTGCAGCAGTACACGGAGCACCTGGCGGCGGTGAAGGCCATCGCGTGGTCACCTCACCAGCACGGCCTTCTGGCCTCCGGGGGCGGCACGGCCGACCGCTGCATCCGATTCTGGAACACTCTGACGGGCCAGCCCCTGCAGTGCACGGACACGGGCTCTCAGGTCTGCAACCTGGCCTGGTCCAAGCACACAAATGAGCTGGTGAGTCCCGCTAAATGTTTGAATAAACAGGGATGTGATATGGAAAGGAACCCTTGTGGTTTTTTTCTCCAATCGGGAGCTGGGGCTGCTGTTAGATTGGTTTGTTATTGGGATTTGTTGCAAAACTCAACAAATCAGTAGCAGCTTTATACTGTATACGAGGTGCACCTTTAACTTTTGAATGAATGTAGATGTGCTCTACCCTTCAGTATCTGAACTTTGCGAGCCTAAACAGGCCTTTGTCTATGTTGGTATGGTGTTACCTTTGGTAACGTTCCACGCAATCGGCACTGCTTCGGTTTGGTGAGGAAACTCCACATGACACTGCTTGTTTTCTGCAGGTCAGCACACATGGTTATTCCCAGAACCAGATCCTGGTGTGGAAGTATCCATCTTTAACTCAAGTGGCCAAACTCACCGGACATTCCTACAGAGTACTCTACCTGGTCAGTGAATACTTTAAATCCTTTATTGAAGCTGAAACAAATTTTTAATTTAAATAGATGTAGTTCTTTATTATATTTTCTTTGTTTTTCCCAAACATCTGAAAGAACCTTGAGGCACTTAAGCCAGAGTAAAAAAAAAAAAAACCTTAAATGGAAAAGAACAATAATCATGTTATGGCTGTCCTGCCTGCTCCTGATTCTGATCACAAACTGCAATGGCATGTAGCTGGTGTGTGATGATGAGTTTTTGTACAGGCCATGTCGCCCGATGGAGAGGCCATAGTGACAGGAGCTGGAGATGAAACGCTTCGGTTCTGGAACGTCTTCAGTAAAATGAGATCTACTAAGGTAATAACTGTTCTTAATGTTCCACTTCAGTGATAGCACAATTTTTCAATGTCATATGGTCTGTCAACAAAAAATATTTGCAATCCTTGTCCCATTCAGGAGTCGGTCTCGGTGTTGAACCTGTTCACCAGGATCCGGTAGCCATATTTTGAGGGAACGAAGAAGGGAACGGAATTCGTCTCTGCTGGTATCTCTGGGCCTCTTTGGAAATTCACCGGTGACCGTATTAAAAGAGCCCTCTGGACTGCTGTTAGTTTATTTAGCCAAGTTGTAGCCGAGTGTGGGAGGGGAAGCAGAGACGTGCACGGCTTGACCGGCGGGCCCAGGAGATTCAGCTCACAGCGGAATCCTTTTCCTTCTGACCGACGGAGACACTGCCTCCTCCAACAGACCTGCCATCAGTGTTTGGGAGAGTTTCAGGACTGTTTGTTTGATTGTTTCGTTTACAATTTGACATTGTGTATACTTGCCAAATATTAAGTTTATCATTATGAGTGTCTATTTATTTTTTAAATGTTTTTTTTTTCTTTTTTACATTAATCTTCTGTGTGTTTGTTTAAAAGCTGATTGATGTTTGTTTTTTCGTCCATGACTGCAAATGCCAGACGTATCACTGGACTAAAAATGAGACTTTTTTCAGTTTTTATAAAGGAAAAATAATGTTTCAAGGGCAGAGAGAACAGATGACACAAACCTGTTGTACGTTATAGACTGACAATGATCAACAAAGATTCCATGAAAAAGACCTGATCTCCTTATTTAAATCTCACATTGAATTCTTTTTGGTTTCATGAAAGCTCTTTTATCGTTTCATCATCTCTCAAGGAAAATGGGAACAGCACACCTGAATGATAAATTGCCAAACTAATTCATGTGAGGGTTTGTCATTTAAATGGGATTTAAGAAGTTGACCATTTGTCTTTTTCATTTATTCTTAATTGGAAAATTAGGGATGAAAAAATAAACCAGTCATGCTGCCTCTGTTCTGTATTTGTCAATTACAAAAGAATATTTTTCAGACCATCTTCTGAAATTTTCCCCCTTTTAATTTTAGTTTGGATGCCTCACTTAATTTTGTTATCTCTAAAGAAATGCTATTTATTTTTTGGTGTAAAAGTTTCCCATGTAAAATACATCTTGTTTGTTAATTGAATGAGAGGCAGAGGGTTAGTCTTGACGTTTCTTTAATGCCACTATAGAAACAATGCTGCCAACTTTTGTTTGGGTCTTTTCAAAGGAAACTATGTACTGAGACAGCATCCAAAATTAAATGACCATATCTCGTAAAATGAGTTGGTGTTATTTATTAACTAACAATATTTAAAATAGCCCACAACTGCTTTCATAAAATGTTAGGGCCACTTTTTGAGAGACCCAAAATTCTATCAAATTTCTCTACATCTTGGGTGTTTCTTAAACAAAATTAGCGAAAGACTGAATGGGTCTATGGGGAGGGAGGGGACTGTTTTCAGAGTTGGAGGAATACACATTTGTCTCTACATTTGCCATGTTCCTACACTTCACACCGTCACACTTACTATGATGAAATGATCAATTTTGCACCAGAGAAACATGCAGACTGAAAAATATGACATCTGTTCAGACTTTTACTCAGTAGTCAGTAAGATTCCATTTTTAGGTGCACAAGTGTTTTTATGATTTGGAATATATTAATCCTTTTTAACCATCCATTAATATTCTGTACAAACCTGATCCATACCTGGACCACTGGGAACTTCTGCCACCAGGCAAAGGTTGGCTGGGCCAGTAATCCATCACAGGGCTTACATAACCTTCATATGAGTTTTAGATGAGTTTCTTTCTCCTTTTTTCTATTAAGTTGCACACAAATAGTCACAGATTTTTTGACATGAGGAAAAGTCCTGGCTTAACCATAGTTTTTCAGACTAAGAAACTCAGAAGTGAACACCAGAGGGAGCCATCATTTGAACCGAATTTGTAAACCAGTGCTGCACTGCTGCGATCACACCCTTTCAACCAGCTACAACTTTACTAGCTGGAAGGGTAGTTTCATATAACATTCTCACTGAAGGGATATCTTGAATGTGATCTCTATTGTCTTTCTAAGAGGCCAACAGGAATGATGAACATACATATTGTCTATGACATATCTGTTTTAATTCTATGCTGTGCTTACCAGCACATTTGTCATGACCAGAGGTTCAAACAGCTGTATAAATCCTGCAATATGTTAGCAGGGATTCGGCCTCCCAAAGCCCCAACCCCTCCGTCTGTGCCCTGTAGCTTATCCTGACTCACTCTTACACAAGGATTTAGCAAGTGGATTTAATCGAAATAGCCGAAAGATCCAAAAGCAAACATGGTAATGGATGAATAATAGTGTTCCTTTTTGGTTTGGTTTTAATATAGAAATCACAAACAGTTCGCTAAAATGCTGGACCTTGACTGTCAAAAGCAGAATTTGAAAAGAAACAAGAAAAAAAAGAAGGAAAAAAAAATTAACAGCCTTTTCTTTGAATTGGTTTTTATCAGGTTCCGAAGGCTCTGGTGACTCAGCTTCTGTCGACAAAAGAGCCAGATCTCTTCTTCCCTTTGGACCCATTGTAATGTCATCGAAATAACATGCCTGGTCCATTATAGTGATCAGATAAATCACCTGAATGGGAGACTTTCAGCACAGACTTCCAGCTCATCTGCAACTCCTGGTGGAGAGATTTTAGCATTAAGCTCTGAAAGCAGTGGGCAAAACAGAGGGAGATGGCTAATTTGCATAATCCTACCTCCTGATGTTTCCATCAAGAGACACGGGGCGCGATGTGCATCATACAACTGAAGACTCACAACACAGTGACGGGGCTCTACCCCGGGTTCCTGTCCTAAGCCCGACTCTTGAGATACTAAAGGAACAAAGCTTTTGTGATCACTATTTCCTCCTGCACCCAGGTTTCTTTTCGTGCATTCTGTCAGCGGGAACGGAACACAGAGAAAAAGCCTTATTTACACATAGACAGGAGTCTTATGCCCCGGCAGCACCTTTGCATTCATAAACTGGGGATGGGAAGGGGGGATTTTCCACGGAGTGAAAACTGTGAGAAGTTGACAAATAACAGGCGATAGAGAGAATACGAAGAATTAGATGGATCTCTGAGTGGAATTCAAAAGCTGGGCCGTCATCAAGCTGAGCAAAAATTATTGATAATATGGACTGATTATCATTAAAAAACCTGAAGCAGACAGGTTTAACAAGAGCACTGGTTTAGCAACAATAAACTTTATGACATCACTGCAGGGTACAGACATCTGAGAAAAGCACTGTGGCTCATTTGTCCCTTGACATAGTTAAAGTGAAATAATTTAAACAGCTCTGAGATGAGGCTTATGTGACTAATCATGAGATGGAAAAAGTTTGAAAGTCTGGCAGGATCGTAATATTTTTTCATTTTCTTGTAACAGTGTATATGGTAATGGCCCCCAAGCGTATGATAGATGACAGAGCTTCATAATAGCCCACTCTGAGGCTTACTTACAATTACAGCCGCATTGAATTAGAACCATCGAGGGATATAACTCAATCCTTCCAAAGACCGATATCCTTATGTTCAAATTTATCATTTCGTTGTGTAATTTTCATGGTCTCCTGGAATTTTTATTTTAGACCTTTTTTTTTCTCATTCTGCAGCATCTTTCATCACCTTTTGCCCATCCATCAATCTCAAATACCTGCTGGCTGATTTTTCATGAAACAGGGGTACACCCAGGGAAGATCCTTAGGCCCACAGGTTCCCACACAGAGACAAAACCAAGGACACTCACTCCTAGGTTTTAAAATGACTAATTAAACTAGCATAGACAAACAAAAGATTCCTTTTTGCTCTGATATGTGGTGCAAACCACAGCACTACTATACAGCCTGTCTTTCAGCCTGTGTTTTTGCAGACACAGTAAAGAAATACTTTGGATGAATACTTTCCAAGTTTAAGGCTTTTCTTCACAATTCTGCACAGTCCAAGGTCAGAATGTAAACTGAAGGAAGTGAAAAAGCTTCAGCTTTCACTACCCATTTACTCAACTATCATTCTGCATCTTCTGTAAACGATTTGATCAGAATATGACTCTCATTGTGACAATGAGAGTCAAGATTTCGTATGACAAGATTTCGTATTTTCTGCAGCCAGTACAAAGTTCAGGTCCCTGAATATATAATATATTTATAACATATATTCTATATTATATTATATAGAAATGGAGTTTTAAAAAAGGACCTCAAGTGCTTTATTTTTACTGCGTCTAAAAAGAAAAAGAAAGAAAGAAAATGACCCTGGTGATTGCTCTGTGTTGTCACGGGCTTCTTCTTCTTTGGTTTGGTGTCTTTTGTTATTACTGAGTTAAAGCCTTGGAAGGGAATGTGTAGAGCGGCTAAGCTCTACACACAGTGTGGATGAGTATATATATGTAGGGACAGGCTGATTGATTTAACCCCAGTCTTATGATCTGAATGTTGTAAACTTGTTTTCAGAGCTTCGATTTTAATCAATTTTATTCAAACTCAGTTGCATGTAAAACGAAATTTTAATCTTGGCTTGGTTGACACAGTAATAGAATTTCAGGTAGTGTCTTGTCAACATTTGTAGTTGTTTAATACTTCCTTTGGGGTGAACGGGGGGGTTGTGACTCAGCATGTCTTTTACACCCACAAAAAGCTGTGTTTCAGACAGATGGGAATTAAAAAAACACCAAGATGTATCATGTGTCTTCTTTAATATTTATAAATGGCTTTTTCAGTTATCCCTCTGGTCCAATTAGTTGTGTGACTTGCGGGTAAAATAGTATCAATTATGCCACTGTTGATTGTGGCAAGGTTTCTCAGTTATATCATCACATGGCATCGAGCATAACAATCTAAAATCTAAATTCAATACTATTCAATGTATAACCAAAGCTAATTCAATTCACATTTGCGCTCCAATGACCAGACCCAAAAGCTGTTAAGAAGATTTAAAACAACACTAAGAATACAATTAGATTAAAAAGCCATTTTAGAACAGATGCAATGCAGAAATGACTGAAGGAAGCCACTGTTCTAAAATTAGAAAAACAGTACCTTGAGGTGGGTTGTTGTTGTATTCTGACATGCTATATTTACAGGGAGTGCTTTTGACCTAGATTTTAAAACCTTGTTCTACAGTTGATGGATGACTTCAGGTTGTGAACACAGGCTTTACCCTCTGAAATAGACACAAGGCTCAAAACACCTCTCGCTCAGCCGAACTGCCTCTGTTCTTTGAGGGAGAGGAAAGCACTAACATTTACAGGAAAGATTTCTTTACTGTTCATGTTGTATGTCAGACTAGTCCCCTCTTTTGTTTTTACGTGAGCCAAAGGAAATCCCGTATCTGCTTGAAAATGTATGTATCCCTATTGTTTCCCAAATCATTTAATGGTGTCCCTGTACCCGTGCAGATCCCCCAGCATCTAGGTTCGTAATATTTTAGTCTTTATCATACTGGACATCAATATGATGTCTTATATTAATGTAACAAATTCATTTGAATCTAGTTAATGTTGTGTCCTTTAACAAAACCAAACACAGGCGCACTACTGATGTTCTTGTCACTTTTGCAGGATCTGCATGATTCCATTTCAGCGTCTTTTTTCTTTTCCCTCTGTATCAGCTTAAAACACAGCCTGTCAGAAAATCACTAATGTAGGTAACATTGTCTTAGATTACAGCGCATATCTTTTTCCTAAAAAAAAAAAAAAAAAGAATACAGCAAAGTAATAACACATAACATATCCTCACCCTGCATATGTTTTATTCATATGATTCTTTAACCTTCATATAATGTAATTTGGCTCCTGGTTCGGGCCGCACCCTTAACAAGGTTCTGAAAAATCAAATAAATAATTCCACATCAATTGGTCCTCTCGCGCGGTCGTCACTCCACATCGCCCCGCCCCCCCCCCCTCTCCTTGTCTCCCCCGGGCAGCAGACGTATATAAACACACACAGATCCATCTTCCTCCAGCCTACCCAGTAACATCACGATAACCATTACGTGGATCTGTGATGGGGGGGGGGGGGGGGGGGGGGGGGTGGGGGGGGGGTTGGCTTGTTTGTAGGACGGTTAATACTGTTTTGCCT